ATCAGAGAGCAGCTAACAAACCGGTCACCTAATCAACAGGTTACAGAGCGCCCAGGTTAGGCTTAGGTTAGGTGATTAACATCATGCTGGTTTCATAACGTCTAACAGAGAAATAGAAAGAAATGCAGAATCTCCTGCTAGACTGGCTGCTGGTTTTTAGGCTTTCAGGGAACAGGATGTTTATTTATTTTAGCTTGAAACTTGTCCGCTGTGTTTTTCTAAAGCTTCTATGGATGATCGTTTTCGGGTCATTTAATGTTTTCATGTCAAAAATTAATACGAAACAGCAAATATTCTCCTTGGTAGAGAATGAAAGTGTAACAGCCCCATCTCAGTCAAATGACTGGGAGGGGGGCATTGTTTAATGAGTTAAGGATAGAAATAACAAATTTTAGTATCCTAATTACATTATTTATGATGACCTGCATATATATCTGTTTGCCTGGATGGATCGGATAGAGAAGCTGCTGCTGTTTGAGGCTATTTTCACATGTGTCAGTGGAAACCTTGATTCATTCTAAGTGGAACTCTGCATCGGTGGAACTGCAGAGGTTAAATATCATCATCTAAGGCAGGGGTCACCAACCATTTCCAGGCTGAGGGCTACTTCATGGCTATTGACTCATAGGAAGGGCTACCAATACTGACCTATGAACAAGAGGGGCCAGCGTTCACCTAAACTTTATCCATAATAAACACATTTTTATTGTTAAATTTTAATTTCTAATTTTCCTTTAAACATTATGATTTTAAAATCTCTATAAATGCTAAAATGCCCTATATGATTAATATGATGAAATGCTCTATAAATGTTTAAAAAGAAGAGTCACAGAATAAAATAAATTTCAAACTTAGCCCACTGGTGAGTTGCTGTTTTCAGGAGGCGTTGAGGGCACCCCATGTGGTCCTTCAGGGCCCCATGGTGCCCGCGGGCACCGCGTTGGCGACCTCTGATCTAAGGGTTATTTTGTGCAAAAAATGTGAAAAAGAATTTTATCCTTACTGGTTTGAAAAGGAAGCCAACAGGTTTGATTTAAGTCCTCCAAAAATCTTTTCATATTTCATCTTTTTTCACAAAGCTCGATAAAACTTCTAAAATAAGGAGACAAAAAATTAACGAATAATAGTTTTTAATCAATAGCCTTAGAAAACATTGGTTTATATTATGTGATATTGTTTTACGCTCTCAGTCAGTAGAGACAATAGTGGTCCAGCCTGGGTTCAGTTCTTTGACTTAATTCAAGTATAACTAAAGTTATATTCTCATTTTTTTATTTTATTACAAGTAATAATAATGGAGATCTTGAGTTGAGGAAACTAGAGATTTTATAAAACGCAGTTCAACCTTTCCTAAGATGCCTTCAGGCTCTGGTTTGTCCTGCTGCAGCTCTGTGTGTATTTTGGTTGCAGGCGTGTGATTTGTCGTCTTTCTATAGCCGGTGGTGCAGGAGATCTCCTCCCATGGTTTGGAGCTCTATGGTCTATAATCTCTCTAAGCCACAGCAACACCACCCAGATTCATGTCTCAAAGTAAAAATGAGACCAAACCCAGCTGGGTATACAATGGAAGAAAAGAAAACATACACACGCGTGCCCTGTGTGCCGCTTTGGATCGCATCCCTGTGGAGTTTTAAAAAAAGGCCAAGTTGCACTTCGTGCTCAGAGCTTTGTGTTTTATGCTTTTCTAAAAAGCAACATTATTCTCACAATTATGGGCTGATTTTCATTCAAAGCGACACATTGAGCTTGAGGAGTTTTTAAAAAGGTATGATTATAACATGAAATATGAAAAACAAATGAGATAAAAATGTAGATTTTTGTTATAGAATGACTGAATAAATTTAACTTCCATCAAATATTTAAATGTGTTGAATTGCAATAGAACAGTTTTACTTTGTAAAGTTAGAAAGATTTATTTGACCTATATGTATGGAGTTAGTTTTTCTCCATTATTGTTGCAAAGAACATGTTTTATAAATGGAAATTTGAAAAACAAAACTGCAACATAAAAAAAGTTCTTCAGATTT